AGGCTCTCTCCACTGGAGGGGTAAGTGGGGGTGTTGGTCAATGTCAGGCTCTCCACTGGAGGGGGAAGTGGGGGTGGTGTTGGTCAGTGTCAGGCTCTCTCCACTGGAGAGGTAAGTGGGGGTGTTGTCAATGTCAGGCTCTCTCCACTGGAGGGGGAAGTGGGGGTGTTGGTCAATGTCAGGCTCTCTCCACTGGAGGGGTAAAGTGTGGGGGTGTTGGTCAATGGCTCTCTCTCCACTGGAGGGGGAAGTGGGGGTGTTGGTCAGTGTCAGGCTCTCTCCACTGGAGGGGGAAGTGGGGTGTTGGTCAATGTCAGGCTCTCTCTCCACTGGAGGGGGAAGTGGGGGTGTTGGTCAATGTCAGGCTCTCTCCACTGGAGGGGGAAGTGGGGGTGTTGGTCGATAAGTCAGGCAGGCTCTCTCCACTGGAGGGGGAAAGTGGGGGTGTGTTGGTCAGTGTCAGGCTCTCTCCACTGGAGGGGGAAGTGGGGGTGTTGTCAGGTCAGTGTCAGGCTCTCTCCACTGGAGGGGGAAGTGGGGGTGTTGGTCAATGGTCAATGTCAGGCTCTCTCACACTGCAGGGGGAAGTGGGGGTGTTGGTCAATGTCAGGCTCTCTCCAGGGAGGGGGAAGTGGGTGGGGGTGTTGGTCAGTGTCAGGCTCTCTCCACTGGAGGGGTGGGGGTGTTGGTCAAAGTCAGGGGGGTGGTGTTGGTCAATGTCAGGCTCTCTCCACTGGAGGGGTAAGTGGGGGTGTTGGGTCAATGTCAGGCTCTCTCCACTGGAGGGGGAAGTGGGGGGTGTTGGTCAGTGTCAGGCTCTCTCCACACTGGAGAGGTAAGGGGGAAGTGGGGGTGTTGGTCAATGTCAGGCTCTCTTCACACTGGAGAGGTAAGTGGGGGTGTTGGTCAATGTCAGGCTCTCTCCACTGGAGAAGTAAGTGGGGGTGTTGGTCAATGTCAGGCTCTCTCCACTGGAGGGGGAAGTGGGGGTGTTGGTCAATGTCAGGCTCTCTCCACTGGAGGGGAAGGGGGAGGTGTTGGTTGTTGTCCATGGGGGCAGATGATTTTTGTCTTGCTTAGGGCAGCACAAAACCTAGATACACCCCTGGTCTACATGTACTTACCTCGCTCCGCCTGAGGCAAGGTTCGCACTTCTATGGAGTGATTTCAGTGAGTTTTGTTTCATGCGATTTATAGGATTACGTCCAGAGTGACTTATTGTGGGTCCAGCTGCGGTTCCAATGTGTTTCACATGTGATTTGGATGCAGATGCGGTCTCTCCCTCTCTACAGCATTGACTTGTAGAAATCGCACTGGAATCGCATTTTCTTTGAACTGCTATGCAGTTCCATTAAACTCTAATCCGCCCCCACAATCGCAGTGCACCGAACACGCGCAGGACCGGTTCTAAAATCCCACTGCATTCAGACTGCATATATGTGAACGCCCTCCACAGGAAATCATGCTTTTTCCATTGTCATGCGAATCCATGCGTTCTGGAACTCATCCGAAATCACATCAGCGGGAAAAATGGCTAAATTCATTCTAGACAGAAGGTGAGCCAATGGATTTTTGAATGTGGGGGAGGGACTTAGCTCAGTAGTCAGATGCTCAGTAATCAAGTCCCGCCCCTACAATAGCCAGTAGAGTCTGGCACCATGGATTCTAGAATACAGACAGAGCTGGGGGAGGAGTCTGCAGGGTCCTGCACCCGCCAACCGCTCAGCATTGTTGCAATGTGTTGCAGGCTGGTTTGCAACATTATAATAAATGTACAATTTCTTCTGCTTCAAATTTATATACATTTATCATTTTTTACCCACTTAAAGTTTAACATGAATAAACTGAACGTCTAGAACAGCGGTTCTCAACCTGTGGGCCGGGGCCCCTTTGGGGGGTCGAACGACCCTTTCACAGGGGTCCCCTAAGACCATCAGAAAACACATATTTAAAGAGCAGCCGATGTGTAGAAAGCAGCAGTAGAAAGCAGCAGTATTGGAGGTAAAGCGACACTCATGAATTATAATTACTGGGTAAATAATTTAATGGTTGGGGGTCACCACAACATGAGGAACTGTATGAAAGGGTCCCGGCATTAGGAAGGTTGAGAACCACTTATCTAGAACATCCTATGGTCACCAAACTGCAACCCACGGGCTGGATGTGGCCCTTTCCTTGCTTTCATCCGGCACTTGGGGTACTTTTCCTTCCACTGATATGAAGCGCTATTCCTTCCACTGACACCAATGATGGGGCACTATTCCTCCCACTGACACCAATGATGGGGCACTATTCCTCCCACTGACACCAATGATGGGGCACTATTCCTCCCACTGACACCAATGATGGGGCACTATTCCTCCCACTGACACCAATGATGGGGCACTATTCCTCCCACTGACACCAATGATGGGACGCTATTCCTCCCACTGACACCAATGATGGGACGCTATTCCTCCCACTGACACCAATGATGGGGCACTATTCCTCCCACTGACACCAATGATGGGGCACTATTCCTCCCACTGACACCAATGATGGGGCACTATTCCTCCCACTGACACCAATGATGGGGCGCTATTCCTCCCACTGACACCAATGATGGGACGCTATTCCTCCCACTGACACCAATGATGGGGCACTATTCCTCCCACTGATACCAATGATGGGACGCTATTCCTCCACTGACACCAATGATGGGGCACTATTCCTCCCACTGACACCAATGATGGGACGCTATTCCTCCCACTGACAACAATGATGGGGCACTATTCCTCCCACTGACACCAATGATGGGGCACTATTCCTCCCACTGACACCAATGATGGGGCACTATTCATCCCACTGACACCAATGATGGGGCACTATTCCTCCCCCTGACACCAATGATGGGGCAGTATTCCTCCCACTGACACCAATGATGGGGCGTTATTCCTCCCACTGACACCAATGATGGGGCACTATTCCTCCCACTGACACCAATGATGGGGCACTATTCCTCCCACTGACACCAATGATGGGGCACTATTCCTCCCACTGACACCAATGATGGGGCACTATTCCTCCCACTGACACCAATGATGGGGCACTATTCCTCCCACTGACACCAATGATGGGGCACTATTCCTCCCACTGACACCAATGATGGGGCACTATTCCTCCCACTGACACCAATGATGGGGCAGTATTCCTCCCACTGACACCAATGATGGGGCACTATTCCTCCCACTGACACCAATGATGGGGCACTATTCCTCCCACTGACACCAATGATGGGGCACTATTCCTCCCACTGACACCAATGATGGGGCACTATTCCCCCCACTGACACCAATGATGGGGCACTATTCCTCCCACTGACACCAATGATGGGGCACTATTCCTCCCACTGACACCAATGATGGGGCACTATTCCTCCCACTGACACCAATGATGGGACACTATTCCTCCCACTGACACCATGATGGGGCATTGTTTACCATGAGCATAGTCTGAGAACCAGTAAACTGGCTTTTAATTTTGAGTTTGGAGACCCCTGCTTTACAGAATGGTAATCCCCATGGAAAGCACAGATAGTCAGGGGTGGACCGACCATTTGGAAACTCAGGCACTGCCCAAGGGCCCGGGGGCTGTACGGGGCCCCATGAGATGCCCCTGGTACCTTTTTCATAGGCTTTTTTGAGTTTGGGCAAGGACACAGGGGCCCCATGATCCCCTATTGCCCAGGGGCCCCATGATCCCCTATTGCCCGGGGGCCCCATGAGTTGTCAGTCCGCCCCTGCAGGCAGTGTACATACAATGTATGAATACCCCTCAGCCTCCTGTACCCCTCTGACTAGCAGGGCTGTTGCAGGTCAGTGGAATCAGCCCCGCGTGTCCTTCTGCAACCCCCGACGTTCCAAACTTTGAACAACAAGCCCCAGGTGTACCCAGAGGGGGTCTCTGGAATTTGGTCCATCACACTCAGTGCAGCTCGCAGCATCCTCAGGAGAAAAGCAGAGCATGCCGAGAATTCTGAAGAAAAGGAGAACTGTAGATGCAGAAACGTCCGGAAATCACATTTTAGATGCCTGCGGTGGCCTGAGGCCAAATAAAAGTTGTGAACATTTGGGAAGCATCTCATTTCTTCATTTTTCGGAGGTGTAAAAGGCGGAGTTGTGTTTTCGGGAGAGGACCATGAATACGTTCCATTGACTTTGGCCTGAAATAGCCAAACAGGTCCAGGTGCCGCCATGACACAGAAGTCTTCCTTCACAGAGAAGGTCCCCACATGCCAAGCCTGAAGCAGAACATTGGATTTATGACTCGGGGGTGCAAGTTCTCGCTGGTCTTTGGGTCCTCCAGGACAGGAAACAGTCATTGGTCTAATTCCATCGTGTAAAGGAACGTGTTGTTCCATAAATGTTCTTGGTATTTGGTTCAGGCGGGTGCAAAGTGAAAAAACAGTCTTATGTCTCCCCTCCCCCCTTACATCAGCAGTGCCAGTTCCATAGAACCTTGGCTAAGCAACCATAACTGAGAAGAAAGGCCCTTCTAAGGCTTCCACCACTCCCAGCCTCTTGGGTTCCCCATCATTGGTGTCAGTGGGAGGAATAGTGCCCCATCATTGGTGTCAGTGGGAGGAATAGTGCCCCCATCATTGGTGTCCAAGTGGGAGGAATAGTGCCCCATCATTGGTTGTCAGTGGGAGGAACGGTGCCACATCATTGGTCAGTGTCAGGGGTACACAACGTTCCTGTATTTTCCGCCGGCGCTCCGGCTCACAGCCGTCTCATCTTCAGATTCTGATGTAGAGGAACTCTCCTTCCAAGACCCGGAAAATGAACCATCTGATAGCGAGGTCCCCTAACATGCACACACGTGACCGCTGTGTATGTTGGCGTGTTTATGATCTTCATTTAAAAGAGGTCGCCCCGCCTTCTCCTGAAATCTGACCACGGTGCAGTTCTGCTGGACCAGGATTGTATTGTCAGGCAAGTCAGGATATCTGCTTAACCCCCTTCAATCCCAGACACATTTCATGTGATTCAGGTGTTCCAATCCCCTCCAAGATATCATGTGATTCGGGTGTTCCAATCCCCTCATATCATGTGATTCAGGTGTTCCAATCCCCTCCCAATCATGTGATTCAGGTGTGTTCCAATCCCCTCCATATCATGTGATTCGGGTGTTCCAATCCCCTCCATATCATGTGATTTCGGGTGTTTCCAATCCCTCCCAATCATGTGATTCAGGGTGTTCCAATCCCCTCCATATCATGTGATTCAGGTGTTCCAATCCCCTCCCAATTCATGTGATTCAGGTGTTTCCAAATCCCCTAGATATCATGTGATTCGGGTGTTCCAATCCCCTCCCAATCATGTGATTTCAGGTGTTCCAATCCACTCCATATCATGTGATTCAGGTGTTCCAATCCCCTCCCAATCATGTGATTCAGGTGTTCCAATCCCCCTCCATATCATGTGATTCAGGTGTTCCAATCCCCTCCAATCATGTGATTCAGGTGTTCCAATCCCCTCCAATCATGTGATTCAGGTGTTCCAATCCCCTCCATATCATGTGATTCAGGTGTTCCAATCCCCTCCATATCATGTGATTCAGGTGTTTCCAATCCCCCTCCATATCAAGTGATTCAGGTGTCCCTGCCCCCTCCCAATCATGTGATTCAGGTGTTCCAATCCCCTCCCCAATCATGTGATTCAGGTGTTCCAATTCTCTCCCAATCATGTGATTCAGGTGTCCCTTGCCCCCTCCCAATCATGTGATTTGGGTGTTCCAATCCCCTCCATATCATGTGATTCAGGTGTTCCAATCCCCTCCATATTATGTGATTTCAGGTGTTCCAATCCCCCATATCATGTGATTCAGGTGTTCCAATCCCCTCCATATCAAGTGATTCAGGTGTCCCTGCCCCCACTCCCAATCATGTGATTCGGGTGTTCCAATCCCCTCCATATCATGTGATTCAGTTGTTCCAATACCCTCCCAATCATGTGATTCAAGTGTTCCAGTCCCCTCCATATCATGTGATTCAGGTGTTCCAATCCCCTCCATATCATGTGATTCAGGTGTTCCAATCCCCTCCATGTCATGTGATTCAGGTATTCCAATCCCCTCCATATCATGTGATTCAAGTATTCCAATCCCCTCCATATCATGTGATTCAGGTGTTCCAATCCCCTCCCAATCATGTGATTCAGGTGTTCCAATCCCCTCCATATCATGTGATTCAGGTGTTCCAATCCCCATCATATCATGTGATTCAGGTGTTCCAATCCCCTCCATGGACACAGGTGTATACAATCCATCCCCTAGGCATGCAGACGGCTTCTACAAACATTGGTGAAAGAATGGGTCGCTCTCAGGAGCTCAGTGACTCCATTGATAGGTGGCCACCTGGGCAATAAGTCCATCCGTGACATTTCCTGGCTACTAAATATTCCACGCTCAAACTGTTAGTGGGATTATAACAAAGTGGAAACAACTGGGAACAACAGCCACACATCAGCCACCAAGGGGTAGGCCACGTCACATGAGACAGGGCGGGGTCAGCGCATGCTGAAGCGCACAGTGCGCAGAAGTCGCCAACTGTCTGCAGAGTCAATAGCTAAAAGACCTCCAAAACTTGGTGTGGCCTTCAGATGAGCCCAACAACAGTGCGTAGAGAGCTTCATGGAATGGGTTTCCATGGCCGAGCAGCTGCATCCAAGCCTTCCATCACCAAGTGCAATGCAAAGCGTCGGATGCCGTGGTGTAAAGCACGCCGCCACTGGACTCTAGAGCAGCTGCATCCAAGCCTTCCATCACCAAGTGCAATGCAAAGCATCAGATGCCGTGGTGTAAAGCATTCCGCCACTGGACTCTAGAGCAGAGGAGACGTGTTCTCTGGAGTGACCAATCACGCTTCTCTGTCTGGCAATCTGATGGATGTGTCTGGGTTTGGCGGGAGGTTTGCCAGGAGAAACTGGTAACTTGCCTGACTGCATTTTGCCAAGTGTAATGTTTCGGTGTGGAGGGGGGGGATTATGGTGTGGGGTTGGACTTGGCCCCCTAGTTCCAGTGAATGGAACTCTTAAGGTGACATTTTGGACAATTCCATGCTCCCAACTTTGTGGGAGGAGTTTGGGGATGGCCCCTTCCTGTTCCAACATGACTGCGCACCAGTGCACAAAGCAAGGTCCATAAAGACATGGAGGAGCCAGTTTGGGGTGGAGGAACTTGACTGTCCTGCACAGAGTCCTGACCTCAACCCCATAGAACACCTTTGGGATGAATTAGAGCGGAGACTGCGAGCCAGGCCTCCTCCCCCGACATCAGTGCCCCTCCCCCGACATCAGTGCCTGACCTGACAAATGTGCTTCTGGAAGAATGGTCCAACCTTCCCATAGACACCCTCCTAAACCTTGTGGGACGGCCTTCCCAGAAGAGTGGAAGCTGTTTATAGGTGCAAAGGGCGGGGGCCAACTCAATATTGTACCCTACGGACTGAGACTGGGGGGGGCGGCCATTATAGGTCATGTGCGTGGAAAGGGCGGGGCCAACTCAATATTGAACCCTATGGACCAAGACTGATGGAAGGCATTAAAGGTCATGTGTGTGGAAAGGGCGGGGCCAACTCAACATTGAACCCTACGGACTAAGACTGGAGGCCATGAAAGGGAATATGTTGTGTGGAAAGGGGTGGGGCCAACTCAATATTGAACCCTACAGACTAAGCTTGGGGGGCCCTTAAAGGTCATGTGTGTGGAAAGGGCGGGGCCAACTCAATATTGAACCCTACGGACTAAGCCTGGGGGGCCATTAAAGGTCATGTGTGTGGAAAGGCCGGCGGCCCCAATACTTTTGGCAGTAAAGTATATGTCTGAAAATCGATCAATGCTGATGTACTGACAGCCGATCTCATTTCTTGAAGTCCCGAAAATGTCAGGACAGTACAAATACCCCCCAAAAAATGTATATACTCATTCACATGGGGGGGCCCAAAATCTGGGGGGCCCCTTGTTAAAGGGGGTTTCAAGATTCCCCCACCTGCAGACCCCCACAACCACCAGCCACGGTTGTGGAGAAGCATGGGGACAAGGTGCTTTGGGAGGGGTAGCCCCCTGCCCCAAAGCACCCTCTCATTTAAAGGGCATATGGCCTGGTATGGTTCAAAGGAAGTGGGGTGCTCCCTCGTCCCCCCCCCTTTACTGACCTGCTTGGATAAGGGTCTGGTATGGATGTGGGAGGGGGAGGGTCCACATCATTTTTTTTTAAAATTTTGGTTTTGGGCTTCCCACTTCAAAATCCATACCAGACCTAAAGGGCTTGGTATGGATGGGGGGGGACCCCACGACTTTTTTTTCTAATTTTGGCATGGGGGTTCCCTTCAACATCCACACCAGCTGGGCGGTATGGTACCGCATACTTCGGAGACCAGATACCGCGTAGTGAGTTGTCCCCTCTGTTCGAAGTTTGTGGTCGAACTTTCGTTAGGTTCAAATGTTCCGTGAACTGAACAGGGGGGTGATCGACCATCACTGAGCCGTACTTCTGGTGGAGGTGATTCAAGTACAGTCCTTAGGTGGGGGTGGGGTGGGCTTTCCTGAAGAAGTGAGTGTTTCAAAGATCACCTAAAGGCAGACAGGGTGGGGGCTGACCGGACATGCTTAGGGGTAGGGAGTTCCAGAGGATGGGAGAGGTTCTGGAGAGAAGTCCTGGAGGCGAGCGTGGGAGGAGGTGATGAGGGAGCTAGAGAGGAGGATATCATGGGAGGAGCAGAGCGGGCGATTTGGGCGGTATCTGTGGATGAGGTTGGTGATTGTAGCCGGGGCAGTGTTGTGGATGGCTTTGTAAGCTGTGGTTTAGTATTTAGAATTTTAATACTTTGGCTTAGTGGAAGCCAGTGGAGGGATTGGCAGAGAGGGGGGTGGAGGACACTGAAGTGGAGACCAGTGGAGGGATTGTCAGAGAGGGGTGGAGGACACTGAGTGGAGACCAGTGGAGGGATTGTCAGAGAGGGGTGGAGGACACTGAGTGGAGGCCAGTGGAGGGATTGGCAGAGAGGGGTGGAGGACACTGAGTGGAGGTTAGTGGAGGGATTTGGCAGAGAGAGGTGGAGGACACTGAATGGAGGCAGCGGAGGGATTGGCAGAGGTGGGTGGAGGACACTGAGTGGAGACCAGTGGAGGGATTGGCAGAGAGGGGTGTGGAGGACACTGAGTGGAGGCCAGTGGAGGGATTGGCAGAGAGGGGTGGAGGACACTGAGTGGAGGTTAGTGGAGGGATTGGCAGAGAGAGGTGGAGGACACTGAATGGAGGCCAGCGGAGGGATTGGCAGAGGGGGGTGGAGGACACTGAGTGGAGGCCAGTGGAGGGATTGGCAGAGAGGGGTGGAGGACACTGAGTGGAGGCCAGTGGAGGGCATTGGCAGAGAGGTGTGGAGGACACTGAGTGGAGGTTAGTGGAGGGATTGGCAGAGAGAGGTGGAGGACACTGAATGGAGGCCAGTGGAGGGATTGGCAGAGAGGGGTGGAGGACACTGAGTGGAGGCCAGCGGAGGGATTGGCAGAGAGGGGTGGAGGGACACTGAGTGGTGGCCAGTGAAGAGATTGGCAGCGAGGGGTGGAGGACACTGAATGGAGGCCAGTGGAGGGATTGGCAGAGGGGGTGGAGGGACACTGAATGGAGGCCAGTGAAGGGATTGGCAGAGAGGGGTGGAGGACACTGAGTGGAGGCCAGTGGAGGGATTGGCAGAGAGGGGTGGAGGAGGACACTGAATGGAGGCCAGTGGAGGGATTGGCATAGAGGGGTGGAGGACACTGAGTAGAGGCCCCCCCCCCAGTGGAGGGATTGGCAGTTGAGGGGTGAAGGACACTGATTGGAGGCCAGTGGAGGGATTGGCAGAGAGGGGTAGAGGACACTGAGTGGAGGCCAGTGGAGGGATTGCCAGAGAGGGGTAGAAGACACTGAGTGGAGGCCAGTGGAGGGATTGGCAGAGAGGGGTGGAGGACACTGAATGGAGGGCCAGTGGAGGGATTGGCAGAGAGGGGTGGAGGACACTGAGTGGAGGCCAGTGGAGGGATTGGCAGAGAGGGGTGGAGGACACTGAATGGAGGCCAGTGGAGGGATTGGCAGAGAGGGGTGGAGGACACTGAATGGAGGGCAGTGGAGGGATTGGCAGAGAGGGGGCGGAGGGACACTGAATGGAGGCCAGTGGAGGGATTGGCAGAGAGGGGAGGAGGACACTGAATGGAGGGCAGTGGAGGGATTGGCAGAGAGGGGCGGAGGACACTGAATGGAGGCCAGTGGAGGGATTGGCAGAGAGGGGGTGCGGGAGGACACTGAATGGAGGCCAGTGGAGGGATTGGCAGAGAGGGGCGGAGGTACACTGAGTGGAGGCCAGTGGAGGGATTGGCAGAGAGGGGTGGAGGAAGACACTGAATGGAGGCCAGCGGAGGGATTGGCAGAGAGGGGTGGAGACTCTGAATGGAGGGCAGTGGAGGGATTGGCAGATAGGGGTGGAGGACACTGAATGTTGAGGCCAGTGGAGGGATTGGCAGAGTGAGGGTGGAGGACACTGAATGGAGGCCAGTGGATGGGATTGGCAGAGAGGGGTGGAGGACAGTGAGTGGAGGCCAAGTGGATGGATTGGCAGAGAGGGGTGGAGGACAGTGAGTGGAGGCCTGTGGGGAGGATTGGGCAGAGAGGGGTGGAGGACACTGAGTGGAGGCCAGTGGTGGGATTGGCAGAGGGGTGTGAAGGACACTGATTGGAGGCCAGTGGAGGGGATTGCCAGAGAGGGGTAGAGGATTGAGTGGAGGCAGTGGAGGGATTGCCAGGGAGGGGTAGAAGACACTGAGTGGAGGCCAGTGGAGGGATTGGCAGAGAGGGGTGGAGGACACTGAATGGAGGCCAGTGGAGGGATTGGCAGAGAGGGGTGGAGGACACTGAGTGGAGGCCAGTGGAGGGATTGGCAGAGAGGGGGTGGAGGACACTGAATGGAGGCACAGTGGAGGGATTGGCAGAGAGGGGTGTGAGGACACTGAATGGAGGGCAGTGGAGGGATTGGCAGAGAGGGCTGGAGGACACTGAATGGAGGCCAGTGGAGGGATTGGCAGAGAGCGGGGGAGGAGGACACTGAATGGAGGGCAGTGGAGGGATTGGCAGAGAGGGGCGGAGGACACTGAATGGAGGCCAGTGGAGGGATTGGCCAGAGAGGGGAGGAGGACACTGAATGGAGGCCAGTGGAGGGATTGGCAGAGAGGGGCGGAGGGACACTGAGTGGAGGCCAGTGGAGGGATTGGCAGAGAGGGGTGGAGGACACTGAATGGAGGCCAGCGGAGGGATTGGCAGAGAGGGGGTGGAGGAGACTCTGAATGGAGGGCAGTGGTGGGATTGGCAGACAGGGGTGGAGGACACTGAGTTGAGGCCAGTTGGCGGGATTGGCAGAGTGGGGTGGAGGACACTGAATGGAGGCCAGTGGATGGATTGGCAGAGAGGGGTGGGAGGACAGTGAGTGGAGGCCAGTGGGGATTGGCAGAGAGGGGTGGAGGACAGTGAGTGGAGGCCAGTGGAGGGATTGGCAGAGAGGGGGGTGGAGGACACTGAGTGGAGGCCAGTGGTGGGATTGGCAGAGAGGGGTGGAGGACACTGAGTGGAGGCCAGTGGTGGGATTGGCAGAGAGGGGTGGAGGACACTGAATGGAGGCCAGTGGTGGGATTGGCAGAGAGGGGTGGAGGACTCTGAATGGAGGCCAGTGGTGGGATTGGCAGAGAGGGGGATGAGGACACTGAATGGAGGCAAGGTGGAGGGATTGGCAGAGAGGGGTGGAGGACACTGAATGGAGGCCATTGGAGGGATTGGCAGAGAGGGGTGGAGGACACTGAATGGAGGCCAGTGGATGGATTGGCAAAGAGGGGTGGAGGACACTGAATGGAGGCCATTGGAGGGATTGAGTCCAGCGCATTATAATGCAAAAGGGGGTGTGGCCTGTGTAACGGTAGCCAGTGGGAGGGAGTTGCAGTAATGGGGGCGGGATATAACCGGGGGTGGATCAGTTGTTTTTGTGGGTCATTGGAGGATTTAGCCGTGAGTTGGTTTTGGGGGGCCCAAAGGGGGTCAGAGTTAGATTTTTGTAGAGGTTATGGGGGATTGTAAAAACACAAGGGAATTCGGGGATTTTTCCAGGACCCGGGGGTTACTAACCAAATTTGGGAAACTCGGGCACTCCCAAAGGGCCCGGGGGTCAGTAGGGGCCCCATGGTCCCCCTGGTACCTTTTTATAGGCTTTTTTTGATTTTGGAAAGAACCGGGGCCCCATGATCCCTATTGCCCGGGGCCCCGAGTTTCAGCCCCCCTAACGGGACCGCGCTGAAACACTGTAAGGGACATTGTAGGACACCATTGTCCATCAGACACCCGGGACACCAAAAATCCTATACAAGCCCATTTT